AGGGTGGCCGCGTCCCGGACGCGGGGCCCGCCCGGAAGGCGAACTGAGACCCTCCAGGACAGATGCTCTTCCCGTTGCCCACGCAAAGTCACACCGAAACCCGTCGTTCTCCGGATCACATACCGAAAATGATTTTATTTTATCCATTTACATTTAACTCGATATAAACTTGTCCGGAAAAGTCAATATGCTTTATATTAGCTCAAACATTTATTAAGAAAACCAAATTCCATAAAGAAGCACAGACAATAAGTTAAAACATATCACAAGTTGACCAGTATGTAACGAGAATGCTTTATCTACACAAAACATCCTATTTCACGTGTTTGTTCATTCTTGGAAAGCGCGTCTGTTCTCCGGGTGTGGCTTTGGCCGGCACATGCAGAAGAGCTGACTGTTCTCTGTACAGAGTTGCAGGGCGGAGGTGTCCGAGCGCACCCATCGGCGGCGCAGGGGCCAGGGCAGTGGCCAAGGGGCATGAGGGACGACAGGACGGCCACAGAACCAAGGGCACAGAGCAGCGGGGAGACATGGAAAAGCGAGTGAACCCCGGTCCAGAGGATCCAGAAAAGAGATGTGGCTTTTGCTTTTACAAAAGGAAACTTTCCTTACATGTTTATTTTGTTACTTCTCACAGACTTATCAAAACGGGGAAGATCGCCTCTTCATTCCACGACTGTTTAGCCTGCTCCAGCCACCCAACCCACTGGCATGGTCCTCTGAGACGCTTTCCCGTCAATGCCCTCACACAGTTGTGCTTAAGAAAAGTAAGAGAAAATAAAAACTTTTTTTTTTTTGCAAGCCAATAGAGGGTTGCATGGATGTGACTGGGTGGATGAGGCAAGGGTAAGGTGCTGGAAAAGTAAACAAAGAGGAGTTTGAAGAAAGAATACGAGGATAAGTAAAATCGTATCAATTGGGCCCTCGGATGAGGCGGTTGGTAGCAGATGCTTGTCCCTCCCTTAAGACAAAAGCCCCTAACGTTGTGCTGTCCCTTGAACACGTCCGTGTGTGACCTAGGTGCACTGTGTATGTGTGTGTGCATGTGTGTGCAGTGTGTAGAGTGAGCGAGAGCGCTCGTGTGTATGTTTCTGCCCACAAACCAGTCCATTGGTGTCTGATTTCAGATCCTGAGTCGACTCCCTGGTCAGTAAAATGGCGGGAAAGATGCGTTTGCGGGGCGCGGGAGGAGGGACACGTGGCGTGGGGAAGGACGGGCCGGGAGGGCGGCGGGGAGGGGGCGTAGGCGTCGTGTTGCAGGTGCGGGTGGGAAGGCCA